GCCTATCAATTTATGCCATGTAATTGGTAAATTAATATTATATTCAAGTTATTTAAGAAAAACTCACAATTGCTTCCAAATATGTGTCTAAATCTAAACTGGCCATTCTCCTGTACTGCTTCTGCTTCTCGTTTCATCTTCGCCAATAGCTTTAACTGTGAGGATAATTGCTGTTGAAGCTTGTTGTCGGATAATGCCTTTAGGCCTTGTTCATCTTGTCAAGAGAAAGAGAAGGGGTAAAATTAAGTGGTAGGATATTGGCTGAGGAGAGATCAGGTAGCTTGAAAGTTTTTTCTTTTCTTCTTTTGAAATATAGGAGGGAGCTTTGAGATGTCCGGCTAGAGTGCACATTGAAGCTTTATGATAATCTATTTTCGTGTATATGGTAGGAGAGAAAGAATGAGTTACAACTCTGTTCTTTACAGTTTAAAGCAAGAACTACAGTTCAATGCTTTCCTCATGGTACCAAAGGTTGAAGAAATAAAGTAGTGGCGAATGAAGAATTAATCCAGTCGGGAGAGAAATGAAGAATTAAATAGGGGCTATGATGCTATTCAAGATTTGTGGGCAGCGAAAGAAAAAAAACACTAGTCACAGTTAGCTCCTCAGCTGTTTTTTTTTTTTTCGCCGACCACAAATCCGGGCATGCTTGGCTGTAGGGCTAACTAGAATAGATTTTTTTTTTTTTTGCCGAAGGCCGTGCGCTCTTCGATCATGGTATACCGCAACGTTTCACCCATTTTCATGGTATGCTGAACGTTTACCCCTTGGTTTGTTTAATATTCACATACTACCCATTCATTCCATACCAATATTCATCAGTTCATCAGCTTCCTAGCGAAGTCCTATTTCTTCCCCAATCTTTTTCAGAAAGAAAAGCCAGTATCTCCGGCGGCAGAAGCTGATGACCCAGGCCCCACTATCCAGTGCTCCCAGTCGTCCAGTCGGACTGGACGGGACGACGAGGACGAGGGCCAGCGCCGTCTGACGGCCGTCGACTAAAATTGGTTAAAATTTTAATGGGGTATCATAATATGGTATCCATAAGAGGAAAGCCAGGACTAGTGCCATCCGACTGCCGTCGCCCCGTCCAGTCCGTCCAAAGACGAGACATCGTCGTCCTCCGTCGTCCTGACCCCGTCTAGGACGGACTGGACGACTGGAAGCGCTGCCCGGGACCACCACACAACCAGATTCCGGAATCACTCCCAAGTGACTCCAATCTCGGGCCTTTGGTATTTCCCCTTCTATTTCATCGGGGCAGTGTTAACTTTGAACTAACCTGCGGTGGAAGGTCGGCTGCTGGGCGAGTATTAATCGTTGTGGCGCTTACCCAATCTTGGCGCCAACCCAGAATGGGTGAAATACGACTGGGCGCGTATATCTATCCAAGGCAACTTCGGAGGTATCATATACCATTACACTAAGGGGACTCTTGTGTTTTTCGCGAAATGCATACCGTAGGGGCGTGCTGATGTAACCGGTTTCTTTGCCATTCATGAAATGCGAAACAGAATTCGCTAGAATATGAGGATGGTTTTTAGTTTATTATGATAATAAATAAATTTATCCTAGCTAAACTTATCCAGAATCCACTAGTAAAAACAATCTTTCCATCACATCATCTTCACCAGAATCTAAACCACAAAATGCTTCAAAGCATTTTACACTACAACTTGTCCCACCACTCATTCTAATGCAGACCAGTAACTGTCTCCTCCTGTGTACTCCTCCAAACAAAACCAGCACTTCCGCACTCCCACAGCCCTGACCACCAGAACCATCTCGTAACCCTCACCAAAAAAAAAAGAAGAAATGTCTCTTTGGCGGGGAATTGAACCCCGGTCCTCCGCGTTCAGAGTGAACTGACAGGCGGAAATACTAACCACTATACTACCAAAGACTGATCACTGTGATGTTCCAAGCTTTTAAGGATTTCTAGCTGGTAAGTCATCTTGTTGAGTTCGAACTAAAATGCCGGCCCCGCGATAATAATACCACCAATGGCGATTTTCCATGTTATTGTCCTCGCCAAGCTCGCGTTTTTACTCGTCCACGACACCACGCTAGAGGAACGAACTGCCTACTTATTCTAAGCGTGGGGCGCCTTCGGTTGCCATTACTCGTAAATATAGGACGATTCCTGGGAACCTGATTCATCACTCTATGCTGTGTTCAACATTCCGATTGCATTCATTCCATCTCGGAATTAAATGCATATGCATATGCATCTGGCATCTGGAATTTCTGGATACTCGTATAGTAAACTTTAGGCGGAGAGGGCTGGCTCTACTGCTGGTTTGGTGGAGATTTACCACATCAACCTTCTACGATTAGAGATACGGTAATGAGTCTACCGTACCGTAGTCTGGAATTCGCTACTCTTTGAAAGTATTCCAATCTAATTCGCTAAAATATACCGGTAGATCCTAACCTCCCATACCTAACCTCCTATGAAACAGTGGTTCAATCTCCGAGAAAAAGGAAAAACTACCAGGTCCACGCGACACAAACCCATGGACGCCTCCTAGCTTTAAGTTACACAACTAACTCTCTTTTGCCCTTTCGCCAACATCATCGCAACGTGATCATTCATCATCTGCACAGCGACATCCAGCGCAGTCCTGTTCAGAAAATCGCTAATCCCCGTCTTCGCCCCTCTCTTCAACAAGTAGCCCACAAGCCTCGCATTGCCAGACTTCGCCGTCAAATGCAACGGGGTCTGTCCCGCGCGATCCTGTCCCCCGACGTCCCCACCTGCATCCAGCAACGACTCCATGGCAGACAGATGGGAGTACTGCGCCGCAAGGTGCAGTGCGGTCTGGCGATTCGAATCCACGTCATGAATGTTCGCGCCGGCCCTTATGAACCGCACAATGGTTGTGCCGGAGGATGTGGCCGCGAGGTGCAGTGGTGTGCGCTGGTCATTGTCGCGTACATGTACGTCCGCTCCGTGGTCTAGTAATAAACGGACGGACTCGTCGTTTCCGTACTTCGCCGCGAGGTGCAGTGCCGTTCGCCCGTTGCAGTCGCGGAAGTGCACTACGGATGGGTTCTTCTCTAGGAGGATTTTCATCGCCGGGAGACTGCCTGTTTGTGTTGCTTCATGCAGCGCTGTTCTTCCGTTGAAGTCTTGGGTGCTTGCATCGGCACCGCCTTCCAGCAGCAGTGACAGGATTCGTGCCGCCTCGTCCTGACGCCCGTTATGCGTTGCAAGGTGCAACGCTGTCCTCCCCAGTTGCTCGCGGTCCGATATCCGTGCGCCGTGGTCCAGCAGAATTTTCACCATTGGTGCATTTCCAAGAAACGCGGAGCGGTGCAGGACTGTCCAGCCGAGCGTTTCCCTGACGGAATAATTCGCCCCTTTTTCCATTAGGAATTTCACCATTGGGGCATTCCCACGAGCGGCGGCCCAGGATAGCGCGAGAACGCCGTATTTCCCCCTGGTAGCGAGGGACAGAAGCACCGGGCTCAGTAAATTCGCGGCGCGAACATTCGTTTGGAGAAGCGAATTTAGGTCCCTCGCGTTGAGATTCTCCGCTATCATGAGGTGGAGTTCGTTGGGTAAATCAACGAGCTGCATTTTTTGTGATATCTATCGAGCGAGTGACCGACCGAGCGAAGATGAGCAGATGTTCTGGTGATCCGGTTTGACTGACTTGGTTGACTAAACAAATTGCCAGACGAACGACTAAGTTGTGAGAAGGACAAGACCCTTTAATCAGGATTCCCCAATTCCGCTGAGCCGTTGATCAGTACTACTTCCGCGGTGGTTGGGGGGGCAGCGGCCTTATACAGAATCTGCTGGCGGGTAGGGCCAAGTTTTCGAACCCGAGTCATGCACCCCGCCCCTGAACGACATCTTAGAAGGGAAAAAAAGGGGGGGGAACGGATTATGTCCGATGCATAGCGAGTACCGCCAGCACTCCGTACGTTTGCATTGTCAACCGACTGCCTGATATGGTGGGGGATAGAGGTTGAAATGTGGACATAATATCCAAAAATATAATTTTTAAATAAATAATTGTCTGAGTGACCCGTTTTCGCTGATCAAAAAAAAAGCCTCGGTTTGGGATTGGTTGAATGGTGTTTGTTGTTCTTTTCTTTATTCGGCGCACCCTGCAAGGGATCTTCTGCGCTAAGCGAGGAGGAACGTTTTTCGCGCCGAAAAGAATGTTCAACGCCCCTCCCGGGCATTGGTGTGATAGGAGTCACTGGATGTCACTCGCGCAATCTAAATCCCTGCTTTCTTACTTTACGTTTATGCTGTATCCACCTCACGCATGTTCGGAACCTGGTGGAAGGTTCAGCAAAAAGCAAACAAAAAAAAAAAGAAAAAATGGAGAGGAGCAATATCTTCCTCGCATTGATGTCTCCGGCACTTGATGATTTCTGTTCAGGTTCTCCATCTACCGGCACAGTGCTCCCTTGTGATACAAGGCTACCAATTAACGATCATGAGTAATCTTCCTCACGTTTTATCACTCGCTGACAAGCATCAGCAGCTGCATCTGCACAGTTCGCATCTACAACACCGTAAGCACTCAAATAGGACAAAAGTTCGCTAGGACTGAAATTCCCCTTCTCGGGGAAAACCCCGCAAACTCTGCACAGCGCCTTACCAGGAGAGGCAACTACAACGTCCTTGCAGATTTCCCTTCTATTTGGGTACTCGCGGTACCGGCACTAGGAGGAGGGAAGTCGGAGCCGATTATCCGCCAGAACCCTGTCGCCGTGGGGGAAGAGAACAGCCAGCATAAGCAACCGGGCGAGGCTGGCAAGAGAGAATTAGCAAAAGGGCAGACTCGGGCTCGGTGAACGAGTAGTTATTCTGGGCCTCTTAGCTGCAATAGTCCTCTTCTATAGCTCGACAATAGATTCAGGCTGTAGGCCCTCGTATCCGTTCTGTGAATAGGCTCGAGGAAGTCCTATTCAGACACCAGTGCGAAGGCTTTTACAACTTCTTGAGTTATCCCGCATCCTCCGGGACTATCACTGTTGGCCGTTCCCCTCGGTCGACGGCTCCCCCGCAATGATACCTGTTTTTCTCGGGTTTTACTTTTAATCTCCGAGCGCCTGTAACAGTGGCTATCCATACTAGGCCATGCACCTTTATTGGTCCGAGATAGGCTCTTCCAGAAGTTCCATCCAGAGCCTAGAACTGAATTGCAAATTGATGCACGGGCTCTTGTAAATCTGCGGTTGATATTTCGGCGGGTATCCACTCCCAGTATTCGCGTACATGAGATCTTACCCCAATCCAAGTCGACGACCCCACACTAAGATGACTCGAGGTCCGTCAGATCCCCACAATATCGACTGTATTTCAACCTCTATAAGTGTTCCTCACTTGCAGTGATTTCACCATTTTCTGTTTCTTCAACTAGCACACCCACCCACCACGTACTCATACCTTCCGAAAGCAAGATCCAAAAAATGACAGAACTCAGCAGCCAAAAGATCGAATACCGCCGTGTTGGGAACTCCGGCTTGAAGGTCTCCGTTCCGATCCTTGGAGCCATGGGGTTCGGGAATAAACTCTGGCAGCCATGGTGTGTGGACGAAGGGGCGTCATTGCAGGTGCTGAAGGCTGCCTACGATCTCGGAATCAATACCTGGGACACGGCAAACACCTATTCCAACGGAGAGTCCGAAAGAATTATCGGGAAGGCTATTAGGAAGTTTAAAATTCCAAGGGACAAGCTAGTCATTATGACAAAGTGTTATTGCGCCGCTGGGGATGAGCCGGGAATGCAGAGCTATATGATGCCCGAGTTGAAGTTTCGGAAAGATTATGTTAATCGGCTTGGTGAGCTTTGGCGGTTTGCTTTCTTTCGGGGGTCAGGGTGGGAATAAAGGGTTGACTAGATGAGGTTGCAGGGCTTTCACGGAAGGCTATATTCTCAGAGGTCAATTCTTCCCTGGAGAGGCTGGGGTTGGAATATATCGATTTGCTCCAGATTCATCGGTGTGATCCTGAGACGCCGCCGGAGGAGACTATGGAAGCGTTACATGACCTTGTCAAGAGTGGGAAGTACGTCATCCCCACCCACCCCCCACTTCTTTGGGCAAGTCCAAGGTCACTCATTCTGGGAAATAGAGTCCGATACATCGGTGCCTCATCTATGTGGACGTGGCAATTTTGGTATATGCTAACCATTCCCCACTCTCCATGCTCCAATTCCACCGACTAACATCAAACCCCACTAGCCTCTACCAGCAAACCGCAGAACGCAACAACTGGACAAAATTCATCTCAATGCAGAACCAATATTCCCTCGTATACCGAGAGGAAGAGCGTGATATGATACCTTACTGCCGCGCAACCGGCGTCGGAATAATCCCCTGGGCGCCTCTAGCGCGCGGGCACCTAACCCGCCTCCCGGCTGCGGAAACAGACTCCGAACGAAACCACATGGAGAAAGAATGCGAGGGCGCGGCCTTCTTCGCTGTGGGATCGTCAGAAGCAGATAAGAAGACCATTTCTCGCATCAAGGAGGTTTCGGATAACAGGGGGTGGACTATGGCTGAGGTTGCGCTAGCCTGGATTTTGGGGAAGGATACTACGCCGATTGTGGGAATGGCGAAGGTGGAGAGGGTAGCGGATATGGGGGGGCTGAAGGGAAAGAGTTTGGATGAGAGTGAGATGGAGTATCTGGAGGAGCTGTATGTTCCCAGGAAGGTTTCCGGACATGTTTAGCTTGGCGGGGGCCCTGTGATGCGCAGATTTACCCTTTGGGGACCGTAATATTATACCATGTCCCCACATGGCTTACTTTGTGTATATCCCTGTAATCCATGGGGACATATACAACAAAGCAATCGGATAGATGGGTCTTAGCTCCCTAGATGCCTTGCACTTTTATTATATATATTTAAACGGAAAGAGGTCAAGAAATATATCCGCCCCTCCCTCTCTAGCATCGCCCAATCCGGGACCGACACATCACCACTGAGGGGTCGTGTTCCCGGTCTAAAACTACTTCAGGATCCCCACGAGCTTAGAAGCCAGAGGAAAATGCACATTGACTCCCATTCCTTTCCATTCTTTTCGTTCTCCCCCATCTTTTCTCAAATAGACCACACTAACTTCCGCTATCGATCCACTTGAAGTTTTTCTCTTCCTTTTTTCTGTTAAATCCTCGGTTTTATTTTAGACACAGTACAGGGCGGGTGCTCCCTAGGGTACAGTGCAATCATTGCATGCAGGAAGACACAACAGATAAAATCTCAAAAACAAATAAACCCGGAAACACCAACTATTAACGCGCAATATGGACCACCACCAAAGTGAGCCCTCATTTCAATCAAAAATTCCATGTATATTCCATCCCAAATGATACCGGGGCTTTAGTCTCATCTCCCGCCGCACTACTCGAGCGCTCTGCAATGGCGTTCGCCTGCGTGTTCGGCGGGTCTTGTGCCCCCAATGACAGACTTCAGAGCGGAGTGACGATGCTGCTTGTACGAGCATAATACCAGTGATAGCGCTTCATCCCGTAAGTGGGGCCCTCTCGGCGCTCTTCTGAAGCTCCGGGTGAGGTGTGCCGGGTCTTTGTGGTGGAGAAGAGATATCCTAGGATTGTGGGATTTTTCTGGGGTTATGGTATTGAACCGCATTCCGACCTTCCTAAATAGAAATGCAAAAGGCGGAATCAGGAAAATTGGGGAGAGGAGCTTGGCTTTCATCTTTTCCCCCTTGTTCTATAGTACATACAACCGCACTGGTAGCAATATAATGCGTAATCCATAGCCTGAGCCGAGTATTTGAGCCTTCCGAGACACCCCGAGGCGGTTCTTGTGTTCCCAACTGTTAGGGCGATCTGGGGCTCCCATGCGGGCCGGGCCCACTGGACACCACTCACCATCCCCACTCCCAGAGTATCTCAGATCTTGGCGTACGGACCTACGGAAATATAGCATGTATATCATATCATGTAAAAAAAAATGGTGTGCTCGTACATTGGCTTATGGCCCGGATCTTGCCCTCCCCACACGTTCTTATTGGAAAGGGTACTTGAATGGTATCATAACTTACTGTGTTCTAGGAGCCTCTAATAAAGCCATATACCTCAAATGATATATAGCCGGCGGTTCAAAACTTTTTGCGAATGGGTATCGAGTCTGCTATTGGTCGGTCGGTTTCGAGCGCTTGGTGAATAATGTCGGTAGTTGTTTGCGTGCGCGATTGGAACAGGGGGTCTTTTTTTTTCCCGTCTAAATTTCTGCTATTCGATGCCGGACTGCTGCTGCTGGGGATTTCACGAAATAAATATTTTCTGCACGTTGAGCCCGTCTAAAATGTTCATGCTCTGCTGAGCTCGCGCCTGTGGGATCTCAGCCGGTGGATGGGAAGAGTAGGTCCCTTTCGGGGCAACGTTAGGGGTGGTGGTTGAGTGACGTGCGGTTGCTCCATAAGTTAATTTCTATTCATCAGCTATCCTATATATAACGCAATCTTAAATATCCGCCACATATGGGGTGCCTGTGCCGTTGTTTTTGGACCCGTCTTGGGGTTCCCGATACGGGGTAGTCGGTTTGGAAGGGTTCAATACATCAACCTGGCCTATATCTATCCGATCCCAGCCTTTTCTCCCCCGACTACGTCTTCGTATCCGCGGGCGCAGCAGCAAACTGCTTTTGGGCCTATTCGTGAGTGATAGCGCTGGTTCAGGCATGAGTACGAACCGTTCATCCATCCTATCGTCAAGCGGTTAATAGGTGGGTGGGTTCTAGCCGCTCACTATAGATACCCTACCGGCGCGGTTGAGTTGAAGTTGGACACTTTGTATGAAAGGGGGTTGTTGCCACCTGAGGGGTATGGTACAGTACAGCTTCACCCAGGCGGTACGAGTATAAACCGGAAAAACTCCGAATGGTTGGTAACGTGTGGTAGAGCTGGGCTACTGATGGGGCTCCTACAGCCTTATCCTGAGTTCAACTATCAACACTGTTCTAGCTTTCCCTGTGCTCTCATGACCGCTCGAATCATTCTCTTCCTTTCCTTGAAAGTGACCTGATCCCTAATCTACTCGGAGCTAGTCTTCATCCTCAGTCACAGCATTGCAACTTGAAATCCCACATTATTGTTTTACTGCAAGTATATATATATTCTAGGGATATTGTCTCTTGTGAGAACCATGCCGCGTAGGCATAATCCTCTCATGAGGTGGCCGTAGCACAAGCCAGACATGCTGCAGGGCTAGCCGAAGTGACAGAAGAGCACAGGAAGCAACATGCGAATCTGACGGAAAAGGGAAAGAGGTTCAAGGTAAACTACAAGGAGATGATCGTTAGGATGAAGCCGGAAATCTTAATCCTAATAGTAATTAGGAAATGGGGAGGGAGGGGGAAAAGAAGGAGTTGTCATGGCCAGGGAAGGTGTAGGGGAGAAAGAAGATCTGGGGGGGGGGGGTACAGACGAGTCGATAGTGGGGGTGAATTCTTAGATGAAAAGGTTGTGTCTAGAGATAGGAGGGGGTAGGGAGAAGCTTGCTGGACTCATACATGACCATTGAGAATAATGTACCGGGAATACGGCCCCATCCAACGATGTAGGGAAGGAACGCAGCCGAAGGGATCACAGAATATCACTTTGTATTGCAAAAATTATTCTCTGGACTATGGCCGTGCCCTCGTGACTAGTATGCCTTCTCAGTGCATTCCGAGTCTTCCTAGTACTATATGCGGCGCTGGGTCCTGAATTCGAATCTCTTTTGGGGGGCTCGGATTTAGTAACCTGCAACCATATGATACCTTCTACTCGTGCGATTTGACTCTCGCCCCACCTAATTATCTGAGTTGATCTCCCTTCAATCACAGCATGTTCTATCTTCCCCGATATTCTGTCTATGTTCGTTTCGAATTTCTTTCTGGGCAAGTGTTGTGCCTAAACATGTTTTTCTTCTTTCTGATACCGGGGCTACCGGTTTTGAAAACCAGGGCATTGTCTATCAAGTCTGTCTCCGGCTTAGTCACAATCACCACACGGGTGACATCTCGTGACGGACAGATTCATTCACTGTTTCACTACGTTTTTCTGGATAGTGGATGTCTTTATCAAGTTTAAACGCACTATCTCCCATACATGGTCCTTCCTTCAGTAGCGGTAAGATGTCTGAGACATACAATTCTATCGCTAAAGTAGCCTGCCATACCAATTTTGAAAAAGGGACATCGCGCACCTAAATTCTTGTGGTATTTAATCCACTCCTCTCCTACCCATCCAAGGAAGGAAACCACCTACTATCCAGATTCAACTTTGCAAGATACACCAAATACCCTACTACGAATTAACATCCACTTCCAAATTTGATCTATAGCCAAGAATGGAAGATCTAGTCTTCACTACCGGCAACCTCAAAATCACCATAAATGCCAGCGAATCGGACCGCAAATCAGCACACAGGCACAGACACCGCCGGGGAGAAGACACCAGTGCCCACCACACGCAACCGCATCACGGCGCTTACTCCCAGAACCCTGCCGGATTAGGGGGGGGATACGTCCAAGGGCAAGGTTATCCAAAACTTACGGCGAAAAACCTGGCGACTCACGAGAGACTAGAGAGCGGTAACCACGCCCCGCAAGCCTATAGTAGACAAGAAGACGACACCGCGGCCCAGTGCGGTCAACGGTACCCGGAAGAGCACAGACATCGCAGTCAACGCTCTGGAAATACTACTGCACACGCAGGAGGTGACCGATCTACCCACCATGCAGCGTATCATGGACATAGGCAGGAGCAGGGCCGTTACCAGGGTGGGCTCGGTTACGCTACGGAGGGTGAGAGGACTGGGGGTGGGTATGTTAACCAGACACACGCGCAACCACATTACTATGGCGCAACTTATGGGGCAGAGTATCAAGGCCCACACACCCACCACGCGGCATACTACCACCCAGATAGACAGGAATTGGGACAGAAAAGGGCTGGATCTAGTCGTCCTTATAGAGAGGAGGGTTCCCGGAGGAGACGTACAGGCGGTGGTTCCCACTCCCGGGATGCCCCGGAGTGGGTGTTGTGCCAGGAAGGTTTGGCAAATGTGGAGGAGTTGGAGGAATGCTCTATTCAGTGTGAGATTGAAGAGGTCGAGTAGGTGAGTGAGATGGGGAGTAGGTGAGTGAGAGATGGGGAGCAGGTGAGCGAGAGGTGAGGTTCAAATTGATAGTTTCATGTGATATGGAAGATTGAAGAGTCGCCGATTGGGGAATTTTGTTTTTCAAGATCTGCTGGCACAGAATAATAGACGCTTAGATTTCTTTTTTATGATTTGAATAATAAAAAAGAGACTACTAAGTTTAAAGGAAAAAATTTTGATACTATTTTGTGAGTGAAATGAAATCGATTCGAAGGTGCTTTGAGAGTGCATGTGGCAATTTTGTATCGGTTCGTGGTTAGAGGGATGATAGATCTATGATAGGATTATCAAGTGGCTTATGGGGTCGATCCGAGCACCGTACCGTCCTCACTTGCCATGCATGGCATCATATTTGGAATTGGGGCCGCGAAGGTGCGGCTAGCATAAGTAGCCCCTCCAAATTGGTTATTCGCCTGGAATGCCAGCAATGCCCCTCGCGCACTGTTTAACCTCTAGCCTAATTAATCGCACAACTTTATATTATGATTCCAGCCCACACTACCAAATGCTCTTCTCTGTCACCTTCCAAGTGTAGCCATTGATCTTAAAGGTATCTCCAACATTTAATCCCTTCTCAAGCGTAACCCTGCCACCATCCTCACCGAATACCTGAACCTCACCACTTCCCTCTAGCAAACCACAATCCAAGCATGCAAGATCACACGGCATCTCCACATCCCCATATCGATAAACCCTCCCCCATTTCCCATTGCCCCTATCTCTAACGTGCCTCTCGCAACTCGTCCTCTCACCAACCTTAATCATTCCCTGACAATACCCCCCAACCCTAACGACCCGCCCTTTAGCGCCTTCATCATCACACTCAAGCACTAATGCGACCCCCTCGTCAATATCCACATTTCGCCAGACCTCCTCATAGTCCTTGACCTGGTCATCCTCGTCGTCCACCATTCTTCCCTTCTCCAGTATGTCCCCGTTCGGCAGCGGGGTATTCACCCCGGAGTCTTCCCCGGGGGTATCCGTTCGAGAATCAATCTCGTGTACCCACCGCATCGGAGTTCCGACAACCGTTCTCCCGGCGATGGCCCATTGTGGGGGTGTTGAGTTGTGGAGTGAGGCGGGGGGACGGAGGTCAACGAATTGCAGGTTTGGGGCGGTGGTTACCAGTGTACTTGTTGGTTCCGAAGCTGGAGCGGGAAGCCAGCGTATAGAAACACGAGCGGAGATGTTTGCCATTTTGTTGGAGGGTGTGAGGTTTGTTCGTTTGGTGGGGGAGGCAGTGGTAGAATCAGGGGTGTGGTTGGCTGTCCGGTATCGTATGTGGTGAACTGTAAACCTAACCCTTGTGCCAAAGTCTTCACGTGACGAGTGCCCGGTTTGGGCATTATAGTCAAAAGTTTGAGTGGGATAACAGCCTACAGGTTGGTGGTTACTGGTTAAAAACTACAGTACTCGTACCCACCAAAGAGAGTAGGGACTTCACTAATCTGTCGTGGTTGGTAGAGTCAGATACTAATAGTTCTACTGTATCATACAAGCGGGAGTTTCTGCAGTCTCTGAAACTTATAACATGAATGGTCCCTCTTTTCAATACCCGTAATATTATGAGCATGGGCTGAGCCAACTACAGCCACTCGACGGGTGCCCACAAGGCCAGCGAGTGTGGATAGGAAAAAATTGACGTATCATATGATAGATCAGATAATATGAGAGGAATGGTGTTAGGATATCCGTCACTAGGATTTTTGTGGAGTTTAGGTCCCGTTTTGCACGCCACCATGGCTACTATAATAATATTATTATCATAATAATATTTAAAAAAATCATTTTTCAAAAATAAAGCCCTGTTTGACATATTAGACTTTTATCGGATTTTTTGTTGCAAATAAAATATTTCAACATTTCACTCCTCTGGCTATATCATAGCTCGGCCTACAGGCCACCTACCAGGCTTTTGTTATCATCGTCATGGTCACAATGGCAGCTACTATCTAGATATTGCTTTTTTTTATACTATTTGGTCATAAGAATTCAAGATCTAGAAAAGATTAAGAAAAATAGTGCTTTTTTACATATCTCTCTGTTAGGCGCACACTGTTCGATATCACTAGGTTAATCAACTGCCTTGAAATAGGTTGGGAAAGGCTCTGAAAGAGAAGGCGCTCAGCAGGCGTCTTATGAGATGTCTTTATTGGTAAGGGAACATGACTAATGTGAGACATGTTTCACAAACAATTCTGTCAAGTGGTGACGTCGACAGGAATCTCTGCTCAAATCAGAAACGGTACCGTATTATCCGATAGCCGCCAGGGGGACCCTGCGCATGTGAACAATTTTTGCGGCAGGGCTGCAGTTCGATCACTCGGGTCCACAAATCTCGCCCTCATCAACTGTCTCTCCATTTCTTTGTCGTGCCTGACATCCTCTCCTCTCGCAAAACACCTACCCATAATGTCCGCCTCTAGATGTTCCCTAGACTCAAGCTCTCCCTTGCTAAAATCAACTAACCCCGAAACCGGGAGAGATGGTGACACGGCTCAGCTCCTCGCACTAGGACATAAGCCAGAGCTAAAGCGGAACCACACAAAGCTGTACAACCCTTCTCCTACCCTGCTTCCTCGCATCTAACACGCACGCTGCAGGTCTATGCTAGGTCTCGCATTCGCCATATTAAACTCATGGACGGCTTTGTCCGCTAGTTTATCGATTTCTCTCCCATCTGGGGGCCCATCAGCAATGCTGTGGGGATTGGTCATTTCGGGCTTGTGTAATATCTGCTTATCGGCAAGCCTGGCAGAGTTTTTGAGTGCTTGGCCGACGTGGGATTCCCCCACCCTTCTCCTGCCCTCCTTGATTGTGGCGCGCTGACTTTAAGGCTAGGGCTGGTGTAAGGTCTTTTTTCATTAGTTCAGTCTGTATCATACCCACGTGATGTTCGGGTGTTGATGGGGTGTGATGACAGGGGCAATACCATTGGGTAGCAGAGATTTCGCCAAAGGAGTGGGTGCCACTTTTAAGTTGGATTTGCGGGTGGATCAATTGCTCAGGTTGGGTGTTGCTAGCTGCTACCGGTGGAAGCTTGGCAGGGCAAGTTATTGCTGGGGTTGTGGGGTTGATGCGCCCGGTATGTGTTCGAGATTTCTTTTGAACGGAGGCTAGGACTCCTGCTGACGGGTAGGATAGGATTACAAATTGTCGAATTTGGAGATCTTTTGGATATATTCTGTTTTTACGATTGTTTCGTTCCTAATCAACGCGTTCGGAAATAGACTTTTGCCGCTATTTACTAAGAGTGCTTGTTGGTGCCTGTTCTGCCCCTCGAGTAAGATTGGGGAAGAGCTGACCGAAGGTAGTTCTTTGGTCCATTTCTGGACTCGCTATTATCTCGGCAACTCTATTGGTGACAGCACCAGAGTACCAACCTGCCGACTTTGTTTTCAGAGAGTTTGTCAACGAGACTGGCTGTAGGTCCAATTAATGGTGTTCCCTGGGGTTATGACTTATGATACTAACCGAGTATACCTACCAGGGCCTGATGGAGTTGCCTGGCTACTGGGTGGGTTTTTAGAGATATGATATTGCAAACTCGTGTAGTTAATAGGGCGTAGGTTTCCTACAAGGAGCGCTGGCACTCACTGGATATGATGCTGTTGCTCACATGATCGAGGGTAATGACATCTCCGCAGGGTGTGGACATGGATACAAGCTGACCTTTCTGTAGAGATTCCGAATCCGACCAAGGAAGGGCCGATATTGATGGTGCGTGCTGTGATGATTGGCATGGGTACTGGGTTCGCTTTTCTTACCGTGCTATTATTTTGCATGGGAGACATTCAGGGCGTAATTAGTGCTCCCGAGGGGTAAGCTTACGGTTTCTTTGTGGAACATATTCTGACAGAAATATAGACCGTTATTGTCGATCTTTTTTCACGCCACAAGAAACAAAGCTCTTTCAGCATGCCTTCTAATGTAAGAAATAAGATATCTCTCGCTGTTTACCCGCGCTAAATGTAAACAGCTTCCCGTTAGGTTGTCTCCTCTTTGCGTCTACAACCCTTATGACAACCTCCTCCCGAATCCTCTACGCCTTTGCCCGAGACAATGGTCTTCCATTTTCAACTGTATTTGCGACCATTCATCCAACATTACAAGTGCCACTGAATTCCCTCCTCCTGACCACAATTCCAGTCCTGCTTCTTGGAACTTTATACCTCATTTCCACTACTGCGTTAAACGCAATATTCTCCGCCGCAGTCATTTCGCTGGCTCTATCATATGGGTTCCCAGTCCTAATCAATGTCCTAACTGGCCGCAAGAAGCTCCCCGATGACCGAGACTTTAAGTTACCGGGTATCATGGGTTGGATCTGTAATCTTATAGGGTTAGGTTTTGTAGTCGGGTGCACAGTGCTCTTTATCCTTCCACCACAACTCCCGGTGACTAGGGAAAACATGAATTATTCCTTTTTGGTATTTTCAATAATTGTCGGGATATCCACGTTGGCCTATCATTTTGAAGGGAAGGGTGTATTTACTGGGCCCGTGACCGGGGATAATCACCTCCACCACCCTGTCCCGCAAAGAGGGTTCAAGGCGGATGCGGAAGGCGGCTGGAGGCCAGGAATGCCTATCCCAGCGTACGATTCTGGGGAGGAGGAAGAGGAGGATTAAAGTGTCGTCACCCTTTGCCACCGAGATGTTGGAAAGTAGAGATGGTTTTCCGGTTTTTCATAGGGGCACGGCCCTGTGGTTTTAGCAGTGTGGGTGGCGGTGGTTGGCATTTTGGGAGCTATGTTGGTGCCTTTACGATACCCTATTATGATAGAACTGCTCGAGATTGCCATTTGCAATTTGCAATTTATCTCAAAATACGATCTCATCTACCGTAGTGCGATCTCCGAACTTGCATGGCTGTCTAATTAGATCTGTGATGGTGCATGCAGTGCTGGGTATTTTTAATTCTGTGCGCCCATTGAGGCCAGGGCCGAGGCTCGGCAATACCAAGACGTCGAGCTCGGTGCAAGAATCCTTCACTCCCCCCTCAGACATGAGGCCGTCTGTTACGCTCTTTTCTCCCTTGGATCAATTCTAATTCTTTATGTTGGCACAATTAACCGAACATGGCGACGCAGCTGAGTGTACTGTACAAGGGTCAGGCAATAAAAAGTGGTAGAGGGTCGGCAGGGGACAAAGAAGTAGTGATAGGCTGTGACTTGCAGAATAACATAAAACACCTAGAAGTCGGACGTCACACAGAAGCCGGACAGGCACACTCATCGCCCGACAGAAAACATCATGTTTCTCCATGAAAAATAAGGCAGTCCACGGTGAGCCGAAACACACGGCCACATGAAAGAGCCGGATGCTAAACCGTAGATCTCGTGTTGTCTGTAACTACCTGGTCTAATACTAACTGAAAATCACGAGCTTGTATTTACATCAACCTCCACAGTTATGATATACCATGTCCGCTATGCCCCTCGACCGCCTTCTCACCTTCCACAATTCTCAAACCATCCAATCCTTCCGATGCATTTCTCTCCTTGGCTTCCGGTTTCCCATGCTCTGTTTTCTTCGCCTCCGACAATGCCTGTACTCTCCCTTTATTTCTTCCGAACCTTTCAAATCTTCCTCCACCTGTGCAACGTATTTATGTCTCCTTCTCCCTTGCCCTTTGTTTTCCCTTTCTAGTTGCGATATTCTGGCAATAGTGCTGGCCCACTCGCTTTGGATGAGGCACAATTAAGAATTGATCCCTTTCGTTGCTTCTACCATACTCGGGTTCAATTCGCTTTGGCATGTATGATATGATGCCGATGTTTTTTGCAGAATCCTGGTTGGGGAAATAGTAATCCAACCCAGAGCTCAGGTCGAGGAGAGGGTCACTGTAGGTTAGCCTATCATGGAATCTCAATCGGCACTTTGCTAACATAATATTGGTTGTCTTTTTTTTTTGGAACTGCGGTCTAGGAATGGAGAGTTTAACATATCCAATTGCTCAATCTTGCGGAAGCATGGTAGGTATTTTTTACTTCATGCTTTCTATCAGTATTTCTCCGGTTTCCGCTTTGTGTATGCATTCTATCAGAGCCTAGGTATTTCTTGAAGTTAGTTATCATACATGCCGAGTTGATTTTAATATGATAGCAGAAAAAAATAATATTCCTCAAGGAAAAAAAAAAACCCCCGATCTATAAGCCTCCAAACACGATGCCAGTATCATCAGACAGCTACCTGTTTTCATGCATAGCCGATCAGCTTCATGCGCCACCGTAGGAGGGGGGAAGAATGTATGAATAAGAGGTTGATGCAAAACGCCCTCGTAGGAGAATTGAGATCTGTGAATTCTTCTTAACACTCTTTCTTGTGAGATAGCATACTCGATCGAGTATCGCTAAAAGGAAACAATGGGTAGCCTGCTTCACTAGCGAATTTTGTATCTCGCGGTATGCTCGAAGTGAAACGGTACGTTCTCGTAGTCTACCTCCCACGACCAGAAATGAAAAACAGATTTAGCTCCAGGAATCTCTCTCTTCTTGACCACATTGATGAAATAAAATTGAAAAATTGAAAAATTGGACAAAATCCTTCACAATCATACGGACCTTATCCCAGCAAAAAAAAAAAAAAAAAAAAATTTATCATCGGTGGATTTGGAGAGCGAAATATCAGGACCGTCAGGGGTGGGCCAATCTTTCGTGGTCCTCCATCTCATGGGTTGGTGCACACACGAGGGCGCCGGGAACCACCCAACCTCTACTGAAAAAAGAAAAAGAAGGAAAAAAATTAAACAATTGTGAAAACCTACACTGGTGTTATACTTTGATTAAAATTCTAAGCGTTTTTAGGTGAGTCGTAGGTCATGAACTTGTTTTAAACAAATTGTAGTTAATGAATCGTTCGAGAGAGATCGCGTTGCTTTATTGTTGGGTATGAGCGGGTGGTGTCGAATATATCATAGATTCTCCTTATGGATTTTGGAGCAGCGATGGGGTTTGTCGGGGTGGGGGCTTTCTTTAGTGTACTGCAAATTAACTCACGGATACGGACTATTCATGGGAGTCAATGGTACTTAGATGTATTCTATTATCTAGATAACACCATGTATCTCTACACCCCTAGAGGAAAGCCATTCACATCCACCACATTAATACGGTACCGTCGTACACCCCATTACCACTACCTCCCCATCCGAAGACTGAATCCAGCCCCAACAGCTTCCTCCTCCCTCCCTCCAAACAACCCCCCCAAATCCCCCAAATCCCCCAAGCTCGGCGCCTCCCCGCCCCTAACCGGCGCGCTCGGACTATCCCACCGCCGCCGCTTCTCCTGACCAGCCTTACTAGGAAACGTCGGGAACATTTCTGTGCTCTTCGGTCTGGGATCCTCCTTGAAGTAGGGGTGCTTCAACACCTCTTCCGCCGAGATGCGTTGGGCAGGGTCGAGGGTTAGCAGGCGGGACATTAGGTCGATGCCCAGGGAGGTTAGTAAGGGGAATTTTGTGCGGATTTTAGACTGCGGTGGGAGGTTTGATTTAGGAATTTTAAGGGACTTGGCATTGGGAAGTTTGCGGAAGGTTGGCCAGCTAGCGTCTGTTGGGGTGCCGCAGAGGTCAAAGATCTGGATTTTGTTTCGTTAGCTCTAGCCTATCGAGTAGGGGTAGGGGGAGCGAACCTTGGCTAACTGGTCTACCTCGTTCTTCCCCCTTAACAACGGCTCCTTTAATAACAGCTCTCCGAAGATACACCCGATACTCCACATGTCCACTGTAGTCCCGTATTCTTTTGCTCCCAGGAGTAATTCTGGTGATCGGTACCATAGTGTAACAACCAATTGTGTCAGCGGCGGCATCGGATCGCCGGTGTACCGCGCAAGACCAAAGTCTGCGACTTTAATCTGACCGCGATTATTCATGAGTAGATTAGAAGTCTTCAAATCGCGATGCACAATCCACCGACTATGCATCAGCGCTGTAGCAGATACAAGCTGCAGCATCAACGTCTTGACCTCAGATTGCAAGAACGGCTCCTGCATGTCCTCCGAGAGGGTCTTCAAATCGTGTTCTATAAAGTCCATTACTATAAACACGCTAGTATCATCATCAGCCAAATCCCACAAAGTAAAACAAGGGGTGGGAGATAAAAGATACTCTTTGAGAGTCCCCCCAACAACCACCTCCCGAAGATTAACCACATTCTCATGCCGCGCCGCCATAAGTGTCTGTATCTCTCGAAGGCTAGTAATGGGGAACCCATCCGTCTCCCTCTCCAACTTCAGCCTCTTCAACGCGACGATCTCGCCCGTCCGCGAGTCCCGCGCCCGCGACACAACACCATAAGAACCCTCCTCGATATGGTTCAGCTTCTCGTACCAGTCCACGTGCGCACAGGGCGTTATCGCCGGGGCGCTGAAGCGGAGGAGTTTTAACTTTGCTTCGTCCTCGTCTCCGGCATTAGACTCATCACTGCGGTCGAGTTTTCGTCGCTTGGGTGCCGGTGGGGAGGGAGGTGCCGCGCTGCTGCCCCCGTCGGCGGCGGCGGATTGTAATTGTTTCTTCTTTTGCTGGGATTTCAGAGCTTTGCGGGCGGCCTTTTCGGCTTTCAGACGCGCGAGTTCTGCGGCGGTGGCTTCGGTGTCGTCGTCCCAACGGGATTTGGGTTTCGTGGACATTTGACGGCGGCGGTCGGTGGTGGGGTGATGTGGTGTTTGTATTGAGCTTGCAAGTTGTGTCGGGGCGCCAAGAGAGAAGGTTGATTTAAGGTTGCTTGATAGCTCCAAACACATCATTGCCCGGACGCTGCAAGCTCCGGACGTTTCATAAGCAATTACATAAGCTGCCTGGCATACTGGTTTTAATTCCCAGGTAAGGGGTACTTTTCAGTTGCTTCTATCATAATAATAATTATTATTATAATCATGCACAATCTCCTTTGATCAATCTCCCTTTAGCTCATGCTGCGAGTGTTCCCCAGCACGAGTCCTGGCAGATGTACTGTACTGATAGCACAGTACACATTTCAGTAGCATATCTAACGATTGATCCTGCGCTCCACACCAAAAATCACGTTTCCCGTAGGTTTACAGCGCAGCCTGAAGTTATTATTTGTTCACAACTATTTCTCACTCGGTGAAATACTCAGCTATCGCAACAAGCATTTCAAAATTCGAGTAAATAGATTGCGGTTTGGCAGCCTGTGTGAACTTTGGAAATCAGGAACTTTGTAAACAAGTACCATTTCAAGTGCTGCCATATAAATAAATTCCAGGCGCTTAAATTGGATTTCCAAGCCCCTCCACACAAGTGATCCCATATCGGGATATACCCAGGCTCATCGATGTTGTTGGAAGTGAGGTTCTCGTCTACCTGAATGGGCAATTTGGTGGTAACCGGTGCAGGGGGTTGGGGGGAGGCTAACGCAGCAGACCCGAATTACCCATTCTTGCTCTATTTGCAGAAGAGAGTTGTGATCTGACTACGTTGCGGCAGGGCGCGATATCCGACAAACAATGAGTCATGTCCAAGCACAGTAAGTCATTCGATGAATTATAGATGCAAGTACTGTACTGTGAAGACTTTATAGTATGATACCTCGCCCAGAGGGTCAGCACGTATCCTAGGAAATTTTATCCCTCAACCTTACTCAAGGCGTTTACCCACACATCTCGAGTTACGTAGCGCGGGGCCCCAATTTCGAGCATGGGCAGAATACTCGCGCGATACCGGAAATACGCGCGAGGAGACGAGGGTGATTGGCAATACGACATTTGAGTGGGCTGGGGTGTTTGGCTTCATGGTGTTTTTCCAAACGGTGATTTCTGCTGTTCCGAAAACTCCCGTTTTGTGGAGGGGTTGAGGGGAGTTGAGGGGGGGGTGAAAGGGAAGCAACAAATAGGTGAAGGGGAGAGGTGAAAGTAAAAGAGGGGAGAATTAGAAGTAATATTCACAAAAGTGTATGGATTATAGAATATGATAATATGATAAATATAAAAGAAGACACTAAAGAGGAGCAAAACTGACTACAAAAAAGTTTGGAATTCTGGAGTGCATGGAATTGGAAGAGATTTTGAGAGTGTTTTGAAATATATCAAACTAGGCTATTCTGAAAGTATTATAATTGACAATATTTTGAGGATCATGAGAACTATGGACTATATCGGAAGAAGAATGGGATGTGATATATCAGGCTGTATTTACTAGGATAGCTTATAAGATCTCTCTTATCTTAAAATCATATAACAGGTAATGACTTTTATATTTATACTGTAAGACCTTTCCTTATGTCTTCTTTAATCTAATATTCTAGATATCTGTTTGTAATTATCATGTTTGATAGTCTTAGGCGATCTCTTTACAATAGTATCATGTTCAACTAGAGAGTAATAGAGATAGAATTAAGTTTGTTATATTCCAGTATTATTAGCCGAGTTAGTATATCATGCTAGATTATTATATATAGTAAGCACTTAAATAAGATTACCTGCTAAAACATTTCTTATAATTACTATAATATATTACCTTTATCTCTTTATCTTTTCCCTTCTTTCTTCTCTCATAATATAATCTTTTACTTTTTATCTTTTATTATTTTTCATTCCTTCTTGTTCCTTACTTCATTCCTCCCCCTTTTTTTGTTTTTTCAAATTTACTTTATACTTTTATACGATACATGACGTTTTCTTGTTTTTTATTGACCCGAAAGTATTCCTAGTATGATGTGATAATCCAGCCAGGACGAGTCTTATCCGCCGGGCGAGCGATCCGGCCCGAGTGCTGAACACTCTTTGGGTATGCAAGAGCACTAAAAAGTAGGTATCGGCTGGTGGCGGTATTGGGGAGTTATGATATTCCTATTCATTCCCCACCTATATTCGCCCGGTCACTTTCCCGCGTCATGCATTCTCACCAACACGTTTATAGAACACTATAATTATGGCGTCGGAATAGTACTGTACTGTGCAGTAGAATATCGCACCCGGCCGATTTCAAGAACTTACCAGCGAGTCCTACACAAACAGGCTGAAGGCATCCTGCCAGAAGATGTGTACTAGTACTGTCCTGTACCATGGAAGGTAGAATGATAGCGGAGAAAAGAAAAAAAACAGCTCTATTTTACCTCACGGAATCCCATTTGCAACTCGAACTGCATACTACGAGAACGTAATGTCCGTCTCTATGAAATCCCAGAACCACCGTCGAATATCGACCGATGATAGTCTAGACTCCCCCCGACTCGGCTCCAAAAACAAATAGATCGAGTCCATCTCAGCCCAACTCGAACAGAAAAGAAAAGAAAAAGTAAGAAGGAAGGAAGAATCACTCTTTTAACCTCGGTTTGAAGGATGCCAAAGTCAATAATGTTCTCTACCCTACTGTACTATCATTACCGGCCATGGAGATATTTCACTCATAACGGGGGATAAAGGTTGAAAACGAAAAGGGGGACAAAGAGTCGCTCACACACGAGCGGCCAGTCAGGGGCAGATACCCTCGACCAAAACCTGTACCATAACCATGAGAAAGACAGCGTAGTAGCGCCAGCTAACTCAACCTAATAGCCCCCCTGCACGAGCTATCGCGGAGGAAGTTTGCGAAACGGCTTCGATTCCGAATTTGGAAAAGAGAGGAGCAATCTCCACTTGCGAGTACGGTACTACTAGTACAAGTATATCATACTTCAGTCGCAGATTCACACTTGACTCTTTTTTTTTTTCCTTCCCCTTTCTCCACAGATCGGACCCTATACCCAATACCGCTTAATAAATCCTTGCTCATGATATGATAAGCAGCTATCGACCCTGCACATACCCACATATCCCCAGTTCGGCGTACACCACAGTACCCTACTGAGCACAAAAACCCTGGATCATCCAACCGAGCCCTCACAACCCGACTACCATACCCTAATAGACCAGCTGAGTCAGGACGGGCAGCGGGTAAGGACAGCGCGAACCGATAAGGCTGTTTTTTTCTTCCATAGTTCGGCACAGGGCGAGAACCTTACAAGGAGCTACGACACGATATCCATATAGTACTCGTACTCTATGGCAGATTTCCTCCTACTAATCAATCATTTACCGATAACCGAGGGAAACTGTTTTGTTTCTGGTGCACCCGCAACAGAACAAGGCTCACAGCAACAGCGACACAAGAACGCCTCGCCTCACCGTTGACCACCGTAGAATAGCGGATTCTCCGCGGGGAAACTAGACTAAAAACTACGAGTACTCGTGCCGTACAAGCAAGGGCTTGGTAGGTTAAGTTAAATTTAATACCAGTTTAACACTCTGTATGGATAACGATATTCCTTTTTCTCGGGATTGTGGGTCGGGGGGATTAGAGGCCGACGGGGGCACTTACCTATCAGGATGGGAGCCTCAGATGACGAGCCCCCCCCCCCTCCAGGGATATTGGTAAACCACTTATCGCAATTCTGCTCAGACCAACTTACCGAGCAATAAATAAGCAAGAAATGGGATTGGCGGGGCGTTATCAAGGGCTGGAGGCGCAGTACGGTACTCGTACCTGGAAGGGCATGGGAACTTTTTTTTACAAATGTACCCTATGATACTCTACTCGAGTACTGTACGAGTACATGTTTCTTGGGTCGTTAGCTCGCTGGGATAATAGAAATCATTGAAATCAAAGGCATGGAGGAAACAAAATTAAATTATCTCCTTGTAAAGCGACGTACAGTATCGCACCAGAACGCTAAAACTCCACTATAGAATACCTGAACCTATAGACTCTTGGCCCTCCCCACCAAGCAGGGGAAAAAAAGACGGAAATAGAACAAAACAAGACCATAGAGAAAACCCGCTCCCACCAAGATATTGACGCACTTAAAGAATGACAGAGGTTGTATCTTGGTTGCCAGTGGTAAAGTAGAAGGAAGGGGAGAAGGAAGGATGGAAGAAGAGGATTAAATTTCAATATAATTATTATTTCTAGAGCAGACTTGGCTGTAGCACCTCCGCGAGCGCCTCCATATCTGTTGTGCCCCCGATGTCAGCCGAAGAACAGGCCTTCCGCCCTGGATGAACAAAAACCGACCTCGAACCGTCGCAAACTCAATCGTCAAAGTCTGGCCCGCTTTCACCGACACGCCCCCTCGACTCCCAGTACCTCCACTCACCGCCTCCATAGTGGCGATATCCACCAACTCCCCCTTCGCGATCTCCACGTTCTTTTCTATCACCATCTTTTCAAAATCGTGGTCGAAATCCATACGTAGAACGGCCGTTAGGTATAGTTCTGCGGAAGAGGAGGGCGAGGATCTGCGGATGACCAAGCGTTGCGTGTCTCCTCTCTTCCACAGTGAGAGATCCGCCGGGCCGAAGCCGGAGGAGGTGGCTACCCGGAAGAAGGACCTTTGGTTCGTCGGTTTGTAGGATACACGGGCGATTTGGCTAATCGTAATCAGCACGCTAAGGGACAAAGAATGAATTGGGGGAGGGGTGGGTACCGGGCGAACTTTAGTTCCCATCTATCGGCTATATGACGGAGGAGACCTTGCGCATCTGCGAACCGTTAGCTAGTCCATTCAGGTCGCAGAAAAGAGGCGTGATGCGGGTGCAGCGATGGCATACCCTCGATAGTTCCGAAACATAGGTTGACGGAATCAATCTTCTTTTCGCAACGCGAAAACTTCGGCTGCTTCCCCGGCTCCAAATCGAGATATTTCCCCACATGGTCCGAAACGTAATTTGTGTAGTACGCTTTTAAAAGTCGAAGCCTGTGGCCCTTGTCCTTGAGTTCAAAATCTAGGTCTCGGGGCACTTTGGACGATTTAGTAGGCGAAAAGAAAAGAAAGAAATAGAGTGACGGCGCCCCCGCGCATAAATTAAAGTTAGAAGTCAGAAACCCCAAGGCATAGCAGCCATGTCCAGCGCCAGAGGAAGGCGATGAATATACAATCACAAGGACCTACTGCCTGTGAAGTAGTATCCCGCTCCCACCATATTCGCCAACGCTTCCGACTCCCAATTTCGAGATTTCCGTTTTGAGCGGGGCACCGCGACTCTAATACTTGCAATAGAATAAGGGGGACATACGGTAAAATACTTCAGAGTACCTCCACTCAAAGCCACGGTGTCTGATAAGTAATCCCTTGAATCTTTCTGCGTTGTCAGTTGGGTTTCGGATGGAATAGATATAGCGGCTCTCCTGTGTGGAGTCCCATCGATATTTCTCTCTTAAAGTCAATTTTGAAACCACCTCCTCAAAGCTATTGGCATCTGTTCACATCTTTAGCCCCGAGTCAACATAGACCCCACAAAGGTGAATACTTACCATCGATGGACCCAAACCCCAAACCCAAACATCTATTTGGCTTCTCCTCATTATAGACATAAGAAATGAGTTCATTAAACGACCCGTCTGCAGCCGAAACCCTCTGTCCACAGTCGGACCACCTAACTGTTAATTTCTGTGCTCCATCGCTCCTCACCTGCACCCCGCTCAACGGCAAGAAATAGCTTGTACACCAGAACTGCGCTGCGCGGGCGGAGCTGCTAATGACTAGGCGACGAGTAGTCATCCAACCCTCTTCTCCGGTGGTCTCGTAGACACGCAGATCAACCGAATGGAAAACTTGGTCGGGGCTTATGGGCTTTTTCGTGTTTGGGTGGAGCAGTTCGAGGCGTTGAAGGGCACTAATGATGAGGAGCGTTGAGAGTTGGTCTTGGCAGAGCGAGTGGGCAGGGGAGGGGGAGAGGGGAGGATACCGTCGGTATATTTCAGTTTCGTTGCCGGAGATAGGATTACGCTCTTGAACTGCGTCAAAGTAGCGTGCTGGTATCTCGATGAATTTGCGGAAGTCTAAAACCGGTACCTGGGTGAGCATGATACATTCCCGCAATGGAGCGATGGCGCCCGTGTGCATAAATGAATGTTAGAAGTCGGAAATCCAGAATCTTAGCAGCTATGCTCAGGGCAATGCCATGGGCAATTCAAGAGCGCACGACAAACTCTTCTTGCCTGTGAAATATCACAGTTTCCTGCCCCCCCAAACACCCACCAAGAATTCCGACTCCTAACGTTCCGTTTTGGGTGAGGGGCGCCGCCGCTCTGATCTCGGGCTCAGAAACTATGCAGAGCTTACCACAAATGTGCAAGAAGTGGATCGTGGTCTCCATCTCTGGGAACTCAATGTCCACTGCAGGCGGCACATTCGATGCCTCATCCGCCATCAGGAAAGGTCTAATGTCCTCCGGTGTGACTTGTTTCTCTGTCAAAATCGCCTTGAATTTCACGGGATATCCGAGTAGGGAAACGACATACTATCTCTTGAGATCTTCAATGTCCCACTCTGATTACACAGCGTAATCTTTAGTTCGCTCTGCCCTTCCTGCGTCCAAAGAACCAACATGTAACGCGCGTCTCTGGTTTTCACCCTGACGCGTTTGTTACCGAGCTCTGCGTTGACGAAGCTACATAAATAAGCCTAGTCAGCTACCGCACTGTAAATATCAAATAAAATAGAGTCTGCATGTACGTGCATCCGCAGATGACTCTCCTCACCAGCACCGCCAGCATGATTGTCCTCAATTGTTAACCATCTTCCTGGATCAAGTAGTGGATTATTCTCCCGCCCATCGGGGGCGACTTCTCTTGGCTGTTTGAGCTCCCAAATTTTATCATTCAACATCATATTATCTTCGATGCCGTCGGCAGAAAGATCTGCTTGGCGGAAGTTTTCAAAGTCTTGGTCAATCGCCTTGAAGTTTTGCATCAGTGAAAGTTGTATGGAGGGGGGGGGGGTTAATTACATCTTGCAAGGTGGAGAAGGATCTGATATCCTCGTCGGACATGTTGATGGTATTATCCGGATCTGAGAGGAGGTAGTTGTACAGGATCCAGGAGGCTTTCATAAGGTCCAGATACGCCTGGCGTAGGCCCGAATTGGGGCCACTGGAAGACGTAGAGCTCGCATCAGGAACCAAGCCGCCCAGGAGGCGGACGGCGTTTCTTGACTGTAGCAATTACAGTTTAGGACAGTACAAAGGCCTTCCCTAAGCTACATGTCACGTACCTTTAAAACCCACCAAGTGCCTGTCCTCAGCAGGTCTTCAGTCGGAATCCGCCGATCTTCAGTTCCCTTCCTGGCCCTCGTCAAGAACCTGCGATTCATCGAATCGGATACCAGGTTCTCCAGACTCGGTGGGTCCCAGTCTAGCATCACCGGTGGCGGCAGAATGGATCCCCGGTCAGGGCAGTTCGAAAGTAGATCGCTTGCGCGAGCGAGTACATCCAGTACACTCGCAGCGGAACTGTCCTGGTCCACATCTGTGCTAAAATCTATGAGGTCTGTGGTGGTCGAGTTCACTGATCCCAGTGGGCTGGTGGGGCGCACGCTGGGCGGGCGAGGGCTGTCCGGAGTTGTTGGGCTGGTGTTTGGAGAGTCATAGCCGTCTCGCTGGGAGAGACTGTACTGGTCCGTGTAACGGGATATTTGGCTTGCTCTTCGCGAATCCCGCAGGAAGCCTGATACAAGGGCACCATCCGGGTTGTGTAGGCGCTCCTGTTGAAGAGCCAGCTGGAAGTCCCTTTCTATCGTGTTAATTGTCGATCTGCCGGATGTTAGGATTAGCCCATCCCACAACCACCACTATTAATAATGGCAAACACTTACTCTCCAACTGAGCTGACGCAAAGATTCAATGTACAAGTATATACCATGATCCGTACTCTAAACCCCTCTATGTCCTGCTGTTCGCGAACCCATCCTATCCTCCTCCAAAAATGTAACCCATCGCTAGACCACAGTTTTCTATACTTGAGTACTAGGGCTTCGAGTCTTCGGAGTGTCCGTGTTGTACCATCCATTGTTCGCCTGATAGCGAGTTGCCGAGACTCGTCTATCCGGCGAGTGTTGATCTCATCTTCGATGCATTTAAGGACTCCGCGAAGGGAGCCAATTTCCCGCATTAACTCGAGAAACTCATTCGGCGCATCCTTGGCCACCTATATTTACTCATTTTCATTAATCTCCAAGGTGGTTTAACAGATGAAGGGGCCGAGAAAGCCCACCAGGAAGCATTTGTGATAGAGATCCCAAGCGAGCTTCGCTCCAGTAATGAAGTCGCCCACAGAAAGACCGAAGGACATCCTTTTGGACGACGATAGTAAGGGCTTAGCACCAAGCGGGGGGTAGAAGAAGAGTTGGTGGGAAAGAAAAGGTGGAGAAAAGTGTTTTCAATGCGATCAGAGTTCCCTAGAGACCTATTCAACCATGCTAGTGAGGAGGTGAAATAAGGCGAGTTGATGCGCAGAGGGGAAGAATGCATGCAGGCAGAGTTTAACAATGGAACGAAAAATCATGGAAATGTAACGACACTAGGATTGCTTTTTAGATGTGGGGAAAGTCGACCTGTCTCATATGATCCTCACTTTGGCCTTGCTCACACCCACGGGGAGCGATTTCGCACTACGAATACCGAATGGCGCCAGGACGTTCGCAGAGCTTCCCCCTCTGCGAAAGGATTATCTTTCAGCCCTCAGCCGAGACTAATAAAAAGAAAAAATACAACAGACCCTACGATACAGTACCGGTACATGTACTATTAGGAGAAGGCAATCCAACGACCTAGCAAGATTCTCAATTACCCGTATTTCAATTTTAGGGGTACTGAACTGAACCTACCCGTTCTCCGGTCGGTAGGATACCGGTACCACCGGCACTCGAGCACAGTGCTCAATGCGTGGAGTGAACTGTGACATTTGATGCGAGGCTGTGCGCCAGCCAGGAGACACGAGTTACAGGACCCGAGGAGAGATGCACTCGAGTACTCGAGTAGAGAGCTGATGGAATAAAGAGATGCCTGGCTGCTGGATAACCGATCCGTCGATTTGCACAATCTTGGCGACAAAATTCGTCGGCAAGCCCCCCCCACTTTACTTGTACCCGAGTACACCAAAAAAGGGTATTTACTCGTACATATTTCAAAACCCATAGCTTGTCCGCTCTGCGAAAAAACTCGAAATAGGGCCTTCGGAGCCATCTAGGTGTTATCATTCATAAATGATAGGTTCTGTCAGTTAATGTCCATAGTGAAATAGCGGAGGTAGTGATAGTGGGCAAAATATACTTCTAACTTTATCGGTATGGTTTCCCATACAAAAGGCATCCAATCCGCCCCCTCAGCCCCCAGCACTCATGGTGGGGTGGGAAAATTGTCGTAATTCCTACCCAGAAAGTCTGGATAGGATAATTGTATACACTATGGAATTGATTTTTGTTAATTCTCCATTGCTTTTAGACAAGATGAGCGTGTTTAAAATCTGCCATTTTTGGTGTAAAATGGGATGCCGACGAATTTTGCCGCCAAGACCGCGCTGCAATTGCACCTTAACTTGCCCCCCCCTGTTGAGAAAAAAGAGAAAAAGATGTCAATTAAGTTAATTTTCCAATTAACATCTTTGAAGCCGTGTTAGTACGACAACGCTCTGTTGTTACATCAAAGCCCTGTTAAAAAAAAAAAGCAGGGCTTCGACTACGATATACTCGAGTGCTAGTACAGCAATGAGTACCGGTATGATACTGCGACGCCTAGTTCTGCCTTGCGCCAAAAATGAGCAAGAGGAGGCCCAACCAACCTTGGGTCCCCTCCTGCCGCCGTCAAGCGATCGAGAGAAGGTCTTGACCACCGGGCCAATAAGTCAATCCAGGCAAAACTTAGTAAGCCGCCGACAACGGAAGGGGAAAAATATCATTGACCCCTGGCGCGCGCTCCCACGAAACTTAGGGAATCCTACTACAGTAGCCAACACCGATGACCTTGCCTCAAACATTGCTCCCGAAGGGAAAGGCCTTCCCTGCCTGAGCACCCATCTACCGTACTCTATGTCCATCGATACCACGGTGAAAATGGTCTTTCAGCCAAACCTACCGTACGATGCCCTTCCGCATAATCTTGCCCGCAAAGTGCAGACAGTTCTCCACGGCAAGTTCCTGCTGGTCGCAGCGGTCCCATGAATAAGAAATCCCCAACAACCGGCATACTCTAGCATCATGTTCTTAGGCGATTCGAGGCTAGCAACCCAAACAAAAACTAAACGTACCCGCCCAAGCTTTCCCCTCCTCACGAAGTGTCGGTTCCCAGTTGCCCCCCCCCCGAATGGAACGCGACGCGCTCGGCCACCCGGATATATGGACTTGACGATGTGAAGGCGTTCACACCGCAAAGGTGTTTTGATAACACATAAATTTCTCAACCACTGGTATCACCGGTATCAACTTGCCTGCACTCCTGCCCAGTGACAAAGGGAGGTGAATGCCCAATTTCGCTGGTGTGCAGGACCCCCCCACTTCGCACAGGTCAGCCCCGCGCCCTTGGCGCAGGTTCCAACATCCACTTTCACCCACAAAGCCCGATACGGTAGTGGAACAACCTTTACCGTTAACTGCCGTAGCAGTGTGTGAACCTTTGTGTTAAACCCCCCACCGTAAAAATTGCAATAATTGGGCGTGGCGCCGAGACGTCCAGAATATCCCCCTTTGGATGGGGGGGAAGAAACACAGCGAAGAAATTGCCTCACAGCCCCCGATCGTGACAAATAAAAAGAAAAAACGACCGACCCTGACAGGGGATCAACTCGAATGTCCTAGCGCGAGGTCCAATTACTCCAGTTTATTACTGTACTGTACCGGTATTGTACTAATACCAAGTGTAACATTCGGATTTTTTCCGGCACTATTCGAGCACAAGAGACAGGTGCCCACGGTGTAGAGATGAACAAGTATTTCGCCCATAGCCCTTGGGGCGAGCGCCGCTTCCCTCACCAAGTTCATAATATTATCATACCCGCCCCGGCGCCTCATGGTGCCAAGCCACCTCTTTCGCGGGGGAAATAAAGTACGTAGGTAAGCGGTCCAACTCCACTGGTGCTTGTGATCCGGGACCCTGGGGTGTTTTCGAGATGTCACAGGTGCCACCACGCGGGAGTTGACAAAGGTTGGGCGCGGTTCCCGAGAGGAGGGGTGGTGATTTCCCTAGCGATGGGTTGGGCGTGGACTTGTATTATCGCGCCTGAAATACCATGAAACACCCTGGGACGATAATGCTCGAGTACAATACAAGCACTATCCAACAAATTCACCAACGATAATGCGGACCAAGTTACGATCTGCAATAATAAAAGTGCAAGTACTAGTACTTGTACTGTACCGCAGGAGTGCGACAAGTAATCATGCTGTGGTGAGGGTGATTGCCTTGTGGGTTGGGGGTTCGGTGTTTGTGAGTGCTTCTCCCATATCTCATCCCTCCTCCCGTGTCATGACGTCCGGGGATGATACGGGATTTAGGCTACCGGCACCCGTACTGGTATTTACTCTAGCGATTCGCTATCTCCGGGACGGGTCTGATATCCGGAATCAGAACGTAACTTGTCAATCTAAACTTGTCTTGGGCTGAGGAGATAGCGAATCGCAAGCGGGAATACGGTAGGGTGCTCGAGCGCCGTTGTGCACTGCCAATCGAAAGGTGTACGAGTACTGTACCGGTAGTCTACCGTATGGTGAGGGGACGGTTGGCGGAATTTTCGTCGAGCCCTTTCGCTTCGGTATGCAGGATGCGCGTGTGCGGGGTGCGCACCGGACCGCACTTTACCACGGCTGGAACGGTTGACTGTCGGGCTTGCCCGTTGGATGTTTCAACAGGCAACCGGGCTGCCGCAAGACCACTTGTACCCGTAGTTCGCCACCGGCCTCTCAGGGGGCCCCGGCCCGTGTGGGTGTGATCCCCGGATTCAGACACGTAAGCTCCGGAGAAGGGTACTCGAGTATAAGGTTAGCCCACGGTATGTGCTGCATCTCATTAATCGACAACTTATCCGCAATTCCCTTAACTTATCGAACCAAAAGCTGTAGCGGCTTGGTGAATTTGAAGGGGCCTTCGCGGTGGTGTACGGTACTGTACTCGTACTGGTATGATACTCGAGCCGCAACCAAGGGCGATTGTGGTGTGGTTGCAACTGCATTGTGCCTGTAGCATCCAGCGTCATCGCAACCCGACCCATCTCCCTCCCCGGTAATGCCGCAACAATCCTGGTTTTCTACTCGAGTACGAGTACCACGGAAAGCGAGGAAGAGGAGGAGATGACGGGGGTTGGTAGGGAGATATGACTGGATTGGGATAATATCTGTGGGGTGATATGATAAACGGTATGCCTTGTAGGATTAGGAGTTTGATAGAGGAAGAGGGTGCAGGAACAAAGTAGACTATTGGGTATAAATTGGTGTTTTAATGACATCGCTAGAGAGATTTATAAACCCATAGGGAATATCCAGCCACTACCTTGTCGTTACTGTGCAGCTGGCAGCACCGCCACTTCCGTAAAATTCTCATACCATTACTCGTTTATCGAGAACGATACCTACTAGCAGCAACAGAACAGGAAGAGCCCCTTGGATAACTGCTTTGGAGTCAGCGGAGCCCTTCCAAGAGTTGGTAGTACTGGCGATTTCCGTTGGGATATCCGATGGTGGACTTGACGAGTCTTCATGGTACCGCTCGGAACACGATAACACGGTAATCTAGCGGATCACTCTTAGCACTCTGCTCGAGTACCGGTATGATGCCGATGCCGGCTGCCCGCCTTTCTCAAGCCCGATACGAATACCGGTACGCTAACCTCCCAGATCACCTCCTCATACAACCCCACCACGGATGTTGTGATAATATTCTCATCAAGCCCATAGCCACCACAAAATACGTACAATACGGTAGAACCCCACCCCACACAAGTTACCCTCTTCCCAAATTTCACTCCTCTATCGTCATACATAATAGCCTGCCTATACCGGTATCATAATATGATATCGTATCATAACTTGGCTTTTATGAGACATGGTCTGCGACAGGAACCTCGCGCGCTTACTGTACGAGTACAATGGATTTCCAGGCTCTTCTTGGTAAGCGGTTCCCATGCTCGAGTAGCAGGAGATTCCAGGGTTCATCAACGGTATGAGTGGTAACTTAAGGTATCAACCCCTCGATGTCCACCTGGTGCATGATTTGGTGGAAATTCATGAGGACGCTAACGCGGTGAGCCCGAGTCGCCCACACTCTCTTACTGGTGCCGTATTTGCCTACCGCCCAAGTGTGGTTGCGCCCAGGAACTGCCCCCCTGGCCCCCTGGTATCGAAAGTACTTGCAACTGAGCCGCCAGTGGTAAAGTCATGGCGGAATGGTGTTGGGGAGTATGTCGCTGCTGCAGAGGGCATGTTTGGAACACATACTCGTACTGTACCCGCGACAGTCCTCTGCTCAAATGTGCAGCTCCTTACCTAACTTTGTTTGGCTAAATCTTCTAATATTATCACTACCGGTACCCGAGTACTCGTTACCGTACACCAACCTTGCTAATCCTCCGCGTATATATTTTGCCGGCGGAAGGGCTCATCTCACTCTTCGACCTTCCTACCGGCGGGACGAGCTCCGCTCTTTTTGTGCTGGTGTAACTCTTGTGTTACTTGCACCAACAAACCAACCTTCAGTACGAGTACAGTACTGTACCCCCCCACCTCAGTGCCCTGTCGTACAAGTGACCAAAAATGAAGATATCCAGTGAAAAGGATTGCCCGTATTAACACTCCACGCTGCACTACTCGAGTTGGGTGTGCGTAAAAGCCTGTCGAACTCTACCCTTATAGGCCGAGTCTACTATGGGAGTGCACGTTACCTGGATACACAATTGGTGAATTTCCTCGCAATTTGGTGATGGAAATGGTCTGTCGAACTCTCGGCACAGTGGCCTGGAGCTAATAGGGGAAGTTTGGCAGACTTGCTCACAACCCCCCGGGTACAGTACGAGTAACTGTGAGTTCCCTCACTCGCATGTGACCTGTCACCTGCGGCCAGAAAAAGTGGTCGGGTGCCCCTCCGCCGTCTGCAGGACTGGAGAAGGGGGAAGAAAAAGGATGAAATGTGAGACTGTACCGTACAAATGCTCCAGTATTGTGGGCTTTCTTTTGTCGCAGCCTAGTTTGGTTGTGGGGTTTGCGGTGGAAGGTACCGGTGCCTTGATAGACAGGAAGTGAGTGGGTGGGTGGGCCTGAAGTGATTGGTTTGACTCCCGATAACTTACGTACAGTATTGTACTCCAGTATACCCATCCAGTAAAATTATTTATTTAATTCAAGCTGTAGGTAAGCAGCCTTGCTCATGCTTGTATCCCCTGATGCTTTCATAACACCCCCTCTCCCTTCGAATACTCTTTTCAATATTCTCTCTTTCCTCCATATTTCCTCTGCTGTCCTCACTATCCTGACCCCAATGGCAGACATCCAGAAAGCCAGCAATGTCGCCGACGGGGAAAAAGTCGCCCCGGCCAGTATATCAGACTCAATACCCGACCGCATCCTAGCGAACCCCCTCGCACACTTCCGCCCCGCCGAACTCGAGGCCCTCGGCCGCAACTTTGTCGTGGAGAAGGGGCTGGACGCGAAATACAGGGAATTGTTCCAGCGCGCGGCCTTGCTCGCGCAGAACCCGTTGTCGTTTCGGGATGAAGATTCGGAGTTTCGGACTAATCCTAGGCTCGGCGCGGAGCGGGAAGCGCTGGAGAGGGAGTTGACGCATAGGTGGGATCAGCCGAAGAGTTTGTATGCACTTGTGGTTATGTGTTCGTTGGGAGCCGCTGTCCAGGGCTGGGATGAGTGAGTATCCCCATTCCTTTTACTGTGTTTGCTTTTGGGTGAGAAGGTTGCTTTTGTGCGTGCCTAACATGATGGTTATGCTAATCTGTGATCGGTTTTCATTTTGTTCAGAACTGCAGTCAATGGAGGTTTGTTTATCATGTCTCCTTGTGATTTCAATTCCCTTCTGGTAGAAGAGCCCCCCGCCTAACTCAAATTTGTCAATAGCGAACACCTTTTACCAGAAGGCCTTCGGTATAACCGACAATAGATGGCTTTACGGCTTTGTGAACTCGGCGCCCTATCTATGCTGCGCTCTAATTGGGTGTTGGTTTGTGCTTCACTTTGTGAATGATTTAAATTCGGCTCACTGCAGAACACTTACAAAAACGTAGGCTCACAGAACCCCTAAACCATTTCTGCGGCCGCCGTGGTACAATCTTCATCTCGTGCGTGATTAGTTCGGTCACATGTCTCGGTCAAGGTCTCACCCAGACATGGCAGCAGATGCTTGCGACAAGATTCTTACTTGGTTCGCTCACTCACTCCTCTACCCACTTCCTTCCACTCTCCAAAGGCCATACTGATGAGTGGATAAGGTCTCGGCATCGGACCGAAGAGTGCAACAATCCCGGTCTACGCATCGGAATGTACTCCCCCGACTATCCGTGGTGGATTGGTAATGATGTGGCAGATGTGGACAGCATTTGGGATCATGCTGGGACTGGTGATGGGCGTGGCATTATTCCATATTGGCGACAGCACGGATCAGGCGTTGTGCTCGGAGGAGCTGGGGAATTTGCTTATATACAAATGTGTATGTATCCTCATTCGCACCACCCAAGCGGGAAAGACGGAGCTAATTAGGGGGGAGGGAAGAGTATAAACTGGCGCCTCATGATCGCTAGTCCTATGTTTTTTCCATTAATCGTTTGTGCGCTTGTGTACTTCAGTCCTGAATCGCCACGGTAAATATCTCCCTTTCACTACTTGCATGATCAGACGGCTAAAGAGAGGGAACAGCTGGTACATTAAAAAAGGAAACTATGAATCAGCCTTTAGATCATTAATTCGTCTCCGCCACTCGAAAATCCAAGCTGCACGGGACCTGATATACATCGACGTCCTCCTGGAAGCTGAGAAGCGGATCTCGAACCGCCGCAACCGCCTGGTAGAAGTCTTCACAGTCCCGCGAAACCGCCATGCACTACAGGCATCGCTCACGGTCATGATTATGCAACAATTCTGCGGAGTCAATGTGCTCGCATACGTATGTGAACTCCTTTTTCTTGTCTGAACCCGCACAAGATGATAACGCTGGCGAAAAGTATTCTTCCGAGGTCCTCAAGGGCTCCAAAACCGACTACAACAGCATCCGCTACGCACTCTTAGGCAGCATGGGCTTCGGCATCATCAACTTCCTATTTGCAATTCCGGCCGTGCGCACAATAGACACCTTTGGCCGGCGAAACTTACTCTTATTTACATTTCCGCTGATGGCGATATGCATGCTGATAACATTCTTCCTGGAAGACATACACAACAAGAAAGATGGGGCACCACTAAGTCTCATCGGAATGGTTCCATCCCCCTATGCTTCCGCCTCCACAACCGTCTAGAATATTTTGCTAACGAACAACCCGCAGTACCTCTTCGCCGCGGTGTATTCTCCGGGCGAAGGCCCTGTCCCATTCGTCTACTCAGCAGAGTGCTACCCGCTGTACATCCGCGACATAGGCATGGCAATCGCCACCGCCGTGACCTGGTTTTTCAACTGGCTGCTGACGATCACGTGGCCGCCTCTCCACGATGCGATACACTCAGCCGCCTTCGGGGTTTATGCTGCACTGAATGTTATTGGATTCGTGGTCATTCTGTTGCTCGTCCCTGAAACTAGGAATCGTACGCTGGAGGAGTTGAATAGCGTTTTCGAAGTGCCGACCAGGGATCAGGCAATGTATGGCATTCGTCAACTCTGGTGGTTCTTTGGAAGTTGGATCTGGGGCAAGGGGGAGCAGGTTGAGAAGCCGGTTCTGGTTGTCGGGAATAGGAGTCGGGAAGATGTAGCGTTTCCGCCTAGAGAGGGCGAATTTGGGATCAGAGCCTTCCCACCGGGTCGCGATTCTTCGTCGGTTCACGGAGCGACATGAATTTGCATTTTCTTTTTATCAAACTAAGGAGTCTAATTACTTCCGGGCGTCATGAAATTTTGGGCTCGGGGGGAATCAGTTGGAGTTTTGGATTATAATCGTTTTTCTCTTTTCACAAAACATCATTATGTTGCAACTTATCAAAGATCGGGATATCATACTGTATTGTTGTGAGGCGTTGCCGTAGCAATCATCTCAACAAATTAATAACAACGGCGAACTCTTAAGCAACAGTAGAACTTTTCAAGCTTGTAGGACCTTCAGTTGGCAATTGGCAGATTTCAAATTTTAATCAATTGCGAGATGTCAGGCATATAGAATGATCCCAAACCGGGAATTTTAAGGAGGTGGTTTTCGACGAGCCACTATCACCAATCGAAAAGTGAGCCCTTCGTCCCTTTCCTACGTGAACCCGCGCAACCACCAAGACATTTACCCACCGCTATACTATACAGTACCTCAAGAGACCAAACGACAACCGAACCACCCTCAGCATGTCTCCGGAAACCCAGAGCTTCACGCCGTCCTTCAGGGTTCCTGTCACCGGTTTCCCTCGTCCAGCAGAGGCCGGAGATCCCAAGCGATAACTCCACGAACCCCAGAATCACGCGACAAAAACCGAGCACGATGGGGGGGGAGAATCAGCCAGATAGCCTACCTACGCCCAATCGTGATAGCACTGAAAACCACTAGCATGGACGCCTCGACACCTTGAACAAGGCGGAAACAATTCGCGAATGCATATGCAACTCTTATTCCTCAGCTCTCGTTTTGCCCCTCCTTTCCGCCCACAATGGGCTCCTGGCGCATGGGCTGTATGGGGCGTGAGGCGGTTTGATTCTGGTCCGCTTCTACCGATGCCCCTTGCGTGGGGGGGGGCGTTTAGAGCGCTGTTGCATTGCGAAATGCCGCTGTTTGTCTGGGTCATTCTGCTTGTTACGGTAATTTTCTGGCTTGCGAGAAAAACACCTCCACGATGACAGGAAGCTGTCTCCCCATATGGGTAGTCATTTACCCCCCACGAATAGAGAGACATCAAACTTTTCTCGCAATGCATGGGGTCCGGTAACAATATTCTAAGAGGGGCGGGGGGTGATTTGGCGACACGATGTTCAAGTGAGCGGAGCGGTAAGCCCACTCAGACTGACCGCTGTGCTTTGCCAAACGAACACGTGGAAAAATTAATCAGTGGAAAGAGGTCAAAAAAAGCCTCCAATAAAGCAAACTTGATGGGAATATATACTCGTCGAGACCGATTCCGTCGTAACATTGGTGAATAAGAGGCCTGGCTTCAACGGTCGTACCGAGCGTGGACAGAGGAGTTCATAGTTGAGGCGGCAGATATGAAAGAAGCGGGAATATATGTGGTTTGGGAGCGTTGCAGGTATTATATATAGGGAGGTTGAGTATCTTGAGCAATAATACTGGCGTTATCATAAGATGGAATTTATGAGCAGAATATTACCCTCCTAACCGCGGCGGCAGCTTCTCGAAACAACCGTTTGGGAGCAGCGTGCACCGACCTGCTCAAACACCGTATCGCCAAACAACCACCCGCTTCATCCTAAAAGCACTCCCTTTTGTGTGGATGTCTCCGGGGTGGGGGGGTAATTTCTTGTGATAATGAGGCTGAAATATGTATATATTTGCTCGTCTGCATCTTTCTTTTCTCTCGTTGAATTATGGCCTGAGGAATCGAGCTCAACCTTTATGGCGTGTTTGGCTAGTTGGTATTTGAGATATAGTCATGGTTTTGAAAGCATGATTTGGTATAAACCGTGGTTTAAGATATCATAGCAGAGTGTTTGAGCGTTTGCCTTGGTAATATTTCCAAAGTTTCTGAATTGAAGATTTAGACACTTTGACTATTTTGCCTCGTACCCTTTGGGGATTTATCAAATCACGGGGTCTATTACCATGCCATGAAAAGCCAGATATCATATAATAGAATGTATAGCTTAGGAAAATCACAGTTGATCTTGCCCTAGAATTACTCCAAATCATGATTTGAAAAAGATTTAGGTAGTGTTTAACACAGCGCAATCCGCGAATCATGTTCAAATTGCTCCAATCTCGAATCGCAGTGAGCAAAACAGGTCATTGTTATAATACTTTCAACGGATGACGGATTCTTAATTGTCCTACTATTTTAGGACAAGATAAAAGGAATCTAGCTAGACCAACTCTCCCGGTATGTATTATATCATAGCTTTAATCACCTACTCCGCAATTCGCCAACAGACATAGCGGTCTCACACACACACACATTCGTCGTCTCGTCTGGGCTAGTCCTGTCAGAACTTTTTTCCTTCAATTGCTTTCTTGGATCCTAATCACTGCTGGTCACTCTGCTCATTATATTAATGCGAGCTCTGACAACTAGCTCTTCCGATCGAGAGAGAGAGAGAGCAGATGACACGCCATTAGTTCGAGCGTGGTACGCCGCTCACAGAGATAGAAACCATGGGGGTAAGGCGGGAGGGAAGAGATTGGATAATTCTAGACACTACTGTATACAAAAAGTCCTGCTCCCTATTTGTGACACATATTCATATTCCAAGACCGCGCGACGGACGCATCATCTCTGATTTGCCATACTCGCTAGGTAGGCCCTCCGCTATCTCGGGGTGGTGGGCGAGAACCGCTAGTGTACCAAGCGCACGGGGTAACTTAGTCCAGCCAAGATGACTGCGAAAGGAGGCCTGGAGGCCTGGAGGTCCTGGGCGAGTTGTGAATTGTGCTTTGATTTGTTCAGGAAGGGTTTTTTTTTCTTTCTTCCCCAGTCTTCGGGCGGGAGATACCGGGCATCCGCAAACAGTATGTCATACCATACTCTCATGATGCTGCCGCTGCAATTCCTGCTCCGGGAAGATGGAATCCTCCTTCCATAATTGCAGAAGTAGCCGAGCAGCCTTCGGTGGGACCCAGATCTGATAGTTCGCTGTATTCCTCTTAGGGTAGATTTGTCTCCAGCGGATAACATCGACGGGTGGTGCCTAGCGGCTGTCTCTCCTCCAGGCCCCCCCTCCCTCTGGGGGCCATAGCACAAATACCTAAGCAGCAGTGAAATCCCTATGCCGGGTTTTGAGAAGCGGCCAGAAGGAGGGGATCTCTATCTCCTCTTTTGTAAAAGAATAATACTCATTCTCTGCAACGTTAGCTGAGCATGAGTAAGTTGTTTCCATGCTCCGAGAAGAAGAACCCCCCCTCCCCAGATTGGGCAATCTCATATCTACAAGCGGCCGATCTGAAGCCGTGCGGGTGGGTTGTCATGCCGGATTACAATCCACAGAACGATTACCCCCAAATCAGTACTGGTTGACTGGGCGGTGGAGAAGTCATGGCAGAGAGCGTTGCGAAATCCGGCTTGTCTACTACCGCGTCCGTCTGTTCAGAAAAGTACTGTACCGTACATTTGTGAAGCTCTCTCTCTAGTAGTCACAAATAGATCTCTCCTCAGGCAATACAGGAATATCAAAGTAACCTTCAGCCTCGCGAATACCAATAAATAAATTACCAAAGTGGCAATGATCACTTAAGATAACACCAAAAACTCCACGCACTCCATCACCACCCTTTCTTTCTTTCATTCTTTCTTTCTCCGAAATCGGATAGGGCAACTAGAGATTCCGAAAACGGCGAAAGCTTATTCATTCCTTCAGCGGGACAAGCGAGATGCCCAAGGCCCCCCAGGAAAAAGCACTATGATAGTATTATAACCCACCTAAATTTACCACTACAGATAGAGGAAATATTGAAAAGGGGGAGAAGTAAAGGTATTTCCTCTCCAAAACATATCGAGAGCTGACGAAATAGCCAAGGTGTACGTACTGTGCCTTTTTTGCTATCGCAGATAGATAATACCATCCAGATATCTCCCGATGTCTGCTGTTATGAGCCAAGACCTAACGTCCCCTCTTCTACATTCCCTTACTATACTGATCCACGCCAAACGCTGTGTCGACCGGCATCCGAAGAGGCAGGACCGTATGGGAAGCTCTGCGCGAGGTTACTGGGAAGTGCATGAGATGTCCCTTCCACTAACCGGAGCTTTGAGTTTTCATCTCTTCCGTGGAGTAGATATAAACCAGACATTTCATTCTCTTAGATGGGCGAAACACATCTACAGTATAATATGGGAGTTGTTAAGGGAAAAAGAGTACAATCGCTTTTTAGGTGTTTTGAGTTATTGTCACTTTTAGTTTGCATGGCAACCAAAGCCTTCTTGAGAAAAAGGGGAAAACATATTTTGACAAATAAATTGATACAATTCAACAACCAATAAATTAAGCAGTATAAAAATGAAGAATAAAAATTATTTATTATTGTTTTTATAATTCTACGTAAAATATTTTAAATTATCCTTGGATTAATAGATTTTAATTGAGAATTGATGATTAATATATATTAAAGGAAAGTTATAACTGCTGAGTAAGCAGAATTAACATTATTGTTAACTTTGATTTATCACTTTACACTTGTTTTTCGATTCAGGAGAACAGCTACGCCTCCACTTTACTGGAGGTGTAATTTCCACTTCCTGTACCTTGCTATTTTCTCCTTGATTGCAATCATTACTTACTCCTTGTTTTGCCTTCTTTGCATTTCTCGCTCTCTTATTTTTCTTCTCATAAACACTTAAAATTAGTAATTCAGCAGGTTTAGAGTAGTACTAAGTATTTTGATATTGTAGGGGAACATAAGAGGAATACTTGCTCCAGAGATCATGCCTCTTCTCAGGATTCAAGCCAGTATCCATAAGACTACAAGGTTCAATACCTAAAAAGTTGGCTAAAATAAAATCCCTTTTCCTGAGATCAATCTTTATCCACTCATCTTGTGGCAGTCTTTTGACTTCTACAATACTGTCACGAACGTGGCTTAGTAAGGAAAGGGCTTTTCACGTGACACATGGTTATGAGTCACAGGTATGTTATTGTTTCACACATATGACCTATTTGGGTTATATGATTAGTTATATGTGGGATTTGTGATGCTTTCGCACATGGCTCAAGTATGAGTCATAGGACATGCGCCTGACGAGTATGCTTTACGAGTGTGCCTTATAGGCAAGCCTTGCGCATATGATTTATGTTTCGTACATGACCTCATTATGACGTCATGGGTTTCGTGCATATGACTCAGTCGAGTCATATGACTTGTTTATTGCGTTATGATTGGTTTATGAGTTTAGCACATAACCTCGCTAGGAGGTTATGGGTTTTGAGCATG